TTTTTTTTTTTTTTTTTCTTTTAGTTGACCAAAGTTGTATTGCATATTGAAAAATGTCATATTTCTAAAATATTTTTCTGGTAAAAAGCTACTGAAAATCCCGTAAATCTTTGAACTTGTATTTCTCTTATGCGTTTGCATGGTGCACAATTCACAAGCAAGTTTGATGGACAACAACAATGGAGTTGGTGGAGCTAATTTCCCTGATATCAACCATCAGGGTCCTGTACAAAATAATAATGTAGGTAACTAAGGATATTCTATCGTGGATCGTCTGACAATAAATACATCATATTATTATGCATTCATAAACTTTTATTATCATATCTCAAATATCTGCAAGTTTGATTTGTTAGCAAGCCTGGTGCATTGATCACTCTATTCTGAACTGTTAATAATTTTAAGATTTAGTGTTCAAAAGCTGCTTGTTAGAAAATGGGACATGGTCTTACAGCGATTCTTCAAACTTGTGCAGAAGATGAGCAAAAGATTTGAGCTTGTGAGGATCATCAAAGCTGTTTTTATTGGTGGCATCAGAGCTGCTTTTCTTCTGACTCTTACTATAAAGGATGTGGAGCTTGACATTGACAAAACTGTTAGAGCAATGGTGTCCACGCCACCAGCTAAGGAACCAAAACTTGTGGACGGGCTATGTCCGAACCGGCCGGCCGGACGCCTTTTGAACCGTCCGGTTTCGTCGGTCGGACAGGTTTTTTTTTTTTTTGTTATATTATGTTATATATTTGAAATAATTATGTTATAAATTGGACGTTATATATTATATTGTTAGGAGTTATAAATAATTATATTACATGTTAGATTTCATTATGCTATTAATTGAACGTTAGATATTATCAGAAATATAATTATCAAATTTTTCCATATGTAATAACTATTGTTATTATAACTATTATAACAAATTATTACTATAGTTATTATAACAATTATTATAATTAAAATTATAAGAAATTATAATAATTTTTATAAATTGGACGTTAGAATAAAAAAAAATCATTTAACTGAAATTTAGGAAATAAAAAAAAATCATTTAACTGAAGTTTAGGAAATCTATTACTATATAATAAAGCTAAGAAAAAATCATGAAAAAATTCGAAAAAAATAATTCATTTTCCCGCTCAAATATTTATTTTCCCCCGCCGGCCAGTCACGAGCCGGCCGGACAATTTTTTTTATTTTTCTATAATAATTATTATTATTATACTTAACTAACTCATGGGATATTACTTACTTAATAACATCCAACATAAACATAAACATAATACAGTACGGAAGCGTAAATAAAATACAGTACTAAAGCGTAAATAAAATACAGTACAGTCTAAAAATTATATTATTACATGCCAACATAAACATAAGCATAATTGAATGTCCAGCTGTCTTCGGACACCACCATACCACCGCTAGCTCACGCTCCGACTGGACTCCGTCACCTGAGAAAAACATAATGGAAGCGTGAACAAAACCACTGAATTCCCGCTCACGTTTGTTAGTGGATTTATTCAACTTATTATTATTATAATTTATAAGTATTATTATAATTATTACAATTAATTATAATTCTATTAGAAATTATTATTATAATTATTATAATTAACTATAATTAATTCTAATTCATAATTATTATTATAATTAGTATAATTAATTTTAATTATTATTAGAAATTATTATTTTAATTATTATAATTATAATTTTAATTTATAATTATTATTATAACAATTATTATTGTAAATAATCATTTCTAACTCCTAACAATATAATATCTAACGTTCAATNGCCGTCCGGTTTCAGCGGCCGAACAGGTTTTTTTTTTTTTACTTTTTGGAAAAAAATGTCAGGGGCAAAATTGTCCAAGGGGGGACGGTGAGTAGTAAAGGAGGGGCAGTGAATAGTAAATGAGAATGTGTATTAATTTTGAATAGACATTTTATGTAATTTTGCATAATTTAAATTTTATATAAAATTTTCAATAAATTATACAAGTACATTGTATTACATATTAGTTTCATTTTTCTAATTTATAAATTAAATATTATTTAATGAGAATTTTTAATTTATAAATATTAATTAATATTCACGAGATTCGAGTTTTAAAAAATGTTTGAAAAAAGAGAAGATCCACCTTATTAATCAAATTATCAAACCTAAAGGCCGAATGGACCGTCGGGCCGACACGTTGTAGGAAATATCGGATTACAACATAAGCGTGGAGAAAGAAAAAACGAAAGCCCTAGAAACTCATTTTCATCTTTGAGCGATGCAGATCGATTCCCCACAGCCATGGCAGCAAAAGTTCGAACATTTGAATATAAACGATGAAGAAGCCGCCGCCGCCGCCGGCAGCGGCAGCGGCAGCGGCTATGCCAGCGATGATTCTATGGGTAGCGATTATGACGAGGCCGAAGCCGAAACCGAAACCGAAACCATCAGCCCGTGGGAAGCCTTCAATCGTGAAAGAACCGAGAAATCGAAGCAGGCTGCCCAGGATTTCCTCCAACAAGTCGAAAAGAATCAGGTATGCTGCTTGGTTTAATCGATCGATTTGCTAGAGTCTGGAATTTTTAGGGCACTCAAAATACGAGATAAAAAAAGTCATTGGCGTGGATATTACGATCCTTGATCGTTCTGGTGGATTTTTCTCTCTGTTTTTAGGTTTGATGTAAAGTAAAAGAAAAAAGAAAAAAAAAATAGTCTCGCTTGAAGGTTTGGTTATTGGTGAGTGCAGATTGCGGAGTTCGCTTGGCCCCCTAAACCTACTGACTGCGGACCATACGAATTTATCAAGCAGTACCTGAAAGATGTCAAATTTGAAGAGGATAGACCTGAGTTAGCAAAGAAATTTCTAGAACAAGTCAAGAGCAGCTGGGTAGGTTAATTTGATTTCCCCTTAATTTATATATATATATATATATATATATATATATATATNGCACTTTGATAATGGTGATAATGATGATGATTTTCCGATTGAGTAACTGTAGTTGGGTCTCCTTTAGGCATCAGTGACAATTTTCTGGGATAATTATTTAGTTGGATTGGATCAATCAGTTTTACATATTTTTCTTCCTTTATTGTTATTGTTCAATCTAATAATTGTGATAAGAATTTCAATTGTGATTATTGTTGGCTCTAACAAGTTGGGAATGTTTTGTGTTGAAATACCTTGGTAGGGTTATGATGTCGACTGCCGTCCTCCTCGCTGGGTTCCCACTTCTCGTTTCCAACCAATAGAGGACGTTGAAGAGATGATGTCGGAATATCCGATTTATAACAAGTCTCTGAACGCTGCAGCAAATTCTGTAATTAGTGGAATCAATACTGTGGCTGAGGCCAAGGTAAGTATAGGTGTATCTTGTTGATTTGTTTGGATGCCCCTGTGCATTGTAGGGTGCATACTCAACTATTCGATTCAAATTCATGAAAGTATTCGATTATTCGTATTCTTATTCGAATTGAAAGTTAGAAACTTTTACGAATACGAATCACATATCAAATCTAGCAAGTTTGATTATTTTACAAGCCTGGTGCATTGATCACTCTATTCTGAACTGTTTATAATTTTAAGATTTAGTGTGCAAAAGCTGCTTGTTAGAAAATGCGACATGGTCTTACAGCGATTCTTCGAACTTGTGCAGAAGATGGGCAAAAGATTTGAGCTTGTGAGGATCATCAAAGCTGTTTTTATTAGTTATGGCATGAATTCTGTTCATCTTCTGACTCTTACTATAAAGGATGTGGAGCTTGACAATGAGAAAACTGTTCGAGCAATGGTGTCCACGCCACCAGGTAAGGAACCAAAACTTGTGGAGTGCAAGCTTATTTCATCTGACCCTGCTTGATTGATGCCATAGTTTGCAGTTTCTTTTCTTCCTATAGTTTTTGTATGTACTTTATATCTCCTCAATTGCCTTTGGAACACACCACACCCCTGAGCTTATTTTCAAGAACTCTGTTTTGTGTAACAATGGCCAAACCATTTGTACATATGTTGTTTAGATTAGTTGGCTACCATTACCCGAATCTTATGAATGTTGTTGATTTTAATGCATCAACAGATCTCTCTGGAATATTTGCTAGTGTGAAACTAATTCAGGTTACTACTGTTATGGTCCTCATATTTTACATGTGAAACTGATGGAATCACTGTCAGAAATTTGGTACATATGAAGTGTTTGAATTTCATTGGAAATAGCACGAGACTTGACGCATGCCACCGTCTTATGAGCATTCTAATCATTTTCCTACCATTGATAATTTGCAGCTCCCTTTTCTACTCGAAACCACCATTCCTAAGCTTAAAACATCATAGTGTGCTATAGGCTCTCCCCATGCACACTTCTGATTCAGACAAGAATAAGCCCAAAGAAAAGTTGGATCATATACACTCATTTCCTCTACCTCTTCAACAATCAACATAACTGTTTTAACCATTTTTTCCGGACCTCGATCTGTCACAAACATACAAGGTTAGCAGCCAGTACATGAAGATGTAAAAATTCAAGAGGAGTTATCTAAGATGGCAAAGAAGCTTAGGACAAGTTAAGAGGGCTTGGTTAGGTTGATTTGGTTTCGACTTTCATATACTAGACCTATATATTTCAACATATTAATGACGGTTCGTGTTTGTTCAATTAACATACTTTACACAAAGTCCACATAAGACAAATACTTTAAAAAGCCCGCCAACTTCATTAAAGTTAATACAAAGTCTACCAAACCACATACATTAGAATATATTAAAAATATTTTTTTAAATACAACCCACAATTTCTTGAATACTCAAAGTACACCAAAAACACCTACTTGAAAACACATTGATTCTCACTATTATAGATGTAATGGAATAATTAAGGGATTTAGCATATTGTGGACATGAAAAATTTTCTACAAAGAAACGTATGTAAAAATACTTTCACAATATCCGCGCCAACTTAGCATGGTGAGTGTTTGAGTTCATAGGTTNTGATCAGTCCTACTCGACACAAACACTACTTCTCCAACTTTCATTCTAAGTATCTTGGATCATAATTAAAAACCATTCAACAAGATAAACTAAACGAAAATTAATAGTTAAACTTCAAAAAAACCAGAAGGATTTATCACAAATTTGCAAAAGGGAGCTGGAAATATTAAAACGAGGTTATTTTGTTTAGATGATAAACCATCAGACAACCAATGTGTTTATAAAAAGAAGGTCAATCAGCAAAATAACAACTACTCCAACTTTGATGCTAATTTTGGATCGACAAGTAACTTCTTCCGATCAATTGCCGACAACCGACCCGGTGACTCATCATCAGTCTCAGAGCCTTTTTCCTGCTTCAATCTTCCATGATTGAACAGTAAGTATGCAAACTTAAGTTGTTCAATATTAACATCAAAGGCCGCAACATCAATTTTCCATGACTCATCCTTTTCTTTTCACGATCTGCGAGCAAATTGGGCGAAATTACTCGTCGTTTCAGATTTGTGTTTTGAAGAAAATAGAATATGCCAGCAAATTGAATGGTAAGAATAAAGAGAACTTTGCTTGTTTGGTTGAGAAAGTAATCAACATTGTTTGAATGGGGACACGAGATTCTCAGAAGATTTTATTACAACAAATAAATGTTTACTTACCCCAATAAAAGTTCTTACCCTTTTTATTAAATAAAGTAATTAATGAATGGATTTGAATTTTGAATGTCAAGCAGCATCATTAATGGCATAAAATTGTTTATAAATTTGTAATAATGACCTTTATATCCTCCATTAGTCTTTAATTTCTTATATTCGTCATTTGGGAATTAATAAAAACATGTGTTACGGGGTAATTTACTCTAATTCATTCCACATTGGTCCAAAATTAGTTTATAAAAGAGGGAGGCCCACCTTAGAGTCACTCCAGCGATGTGCCAGATATGGTGTTTTGCGTTGGAGTAGCGATGATTTCTGCTCCAGTGCGGCGCTGGAACTCTACGCCAAATGAGAGTCGGGAACAGTATTGCGCCAGATGTGGCGCAACACTGTTCCTCGACTCTACAATTTTTTTTTTTTTATTTTTTGTGTATTATTATTGGTAAATTTTTGTGTGTATTAGTAAATTATTTTTTATGCTAAATAATTTGTGTAATGTATTTTTTATGCTAAATAATTTTGTACTTTTTATTTATTGATGTATTATAATTTTATTTTATAATTTTTTAATATTAAAATGATACCATATGAATAAAAATTTAACACACTCAAACAAGTTTATTTCATTAAAATTAAAGTTTACAACACACATAAATCATAGAATATAAATAAAAACAACATGATTAAAAATGACTAAACACACAAATAAAAACAACATGATTAAAAATGACTTAACACACAAATAAAAACAACATGATTAAAGATGACATAAAAATCAAAGGAACACACGAATAATTCTAGTAGTCTCCCAAACCACTTCCAGACCCGCCAAGATCTTGAAAAAACTCACTGAAAGAACTAAAAGTGTTGCTGGCTTGTGATGGCTGCGATCCTTCTCTTTTTCTCAGAATTCGTTCTTGCTCATTTTTAAAATATTCACGACGACGGATATCTTGTATTGACTCCAAATCCATCATTAAAATTTTATTTTCCTCTGTCCATGTGATAGTCTCAACAAGTTGTTTTCTTAATTCATTTTTTTGCTTTTGGATTTCAATTTTTTCTCTTATCATCTCATTGTCGTGATCTCTCTTCATTGCTGAACTTCTCATCATCTCTCTAAATTTTTCATTTTCCTCTTTCATTGTTTTTATAACTGCAGATACGTCTTCTCCCTGTTTTCTCTTGAATTTTGATATTTTAATACCTAATGGCTGTTGTGATGATGAACCACAACTAGCATTTTCATCGCTTAAATTAATAGAAAAATTAGAGAGTTCTGGATTAGGTGAAATGGGAGACTCGGGTTGTGCATCTGATTGCGGTTGAGATGAAAAAGTGTTTCGCCTGGTTGATGTGCACTCAAATAATGTAAAATCTTTCATAATATTCCACACATGCTCGTACTTGAATGGTTTATTACTTTTATTTTTTGGGTTTTGCGAATAAAGTATATTCGCACGCTCCATCTACAATGTGAAAATAAATAACATTAGAAAATATAAAAGTTTATTTTAAATATAAATAAATAATACTTGTAAAATTTCTTACCACATCATGTTCAGAAGCTCCACTGATGTTTGCATTTTCAATTTGCTCCACACAAGATTTGAAAGTTAATAGCAGTATTGATAGATCCTATGCGACATTGGATCATTCTTTGTGGACGATCAGGCCAGGATGGATTGGGTTTTGCAGAATTATACTCGTTCGTCACCCGGAGCCAGAATTGATCTCTACTTTGATATATGTCCACATCTGGATCTTGAGAAATTTCTATATAAGACCGACATAGGTGTTGATCTTCATTCACAGTATAGTTGGAACCCATAAGAGAAATTACTACAAGATAATGAATTTAAAACGTAAATTAGAAAATGATGAAGTTATATTTTGGTGGTACAAAATTTTGCCTCATCATGTAGCGTATTTATAGTATATTTCATTTCGGTTGACATTCGTGATAGGAAATTTAAGATTAACGGCTAAGATTTAAAGTTGTAGATTTCCTTATCCACATCTCAACCGTAGGATTCTTATCTAAAGATTTAATGACTAAGATTAAAAGGTGTAGATTTTCTTATCCACATCTCAACCGTAGGATTCTTATCTAAAGATTAACGGCTAAGATTAAAAGGTGTAGATTTTCTTATCCACATCTCAACCGTAGGATTCTTATTTATAGATTTAATGGCTAAGATTAAAAGGTGTAGATTTTCTTATCCACATCTCAACCGTAGGATTCTTATCTAAAGATTAACGACTAATATTAAAAGGTGTAGATTTTCTTATCCACATTTTAACCGTAGGATTCTTATCTAAAGATTAATGGCTAAGATTAAAAGGTGCAGATTTTCTTATCCACATCTCAACCGTAGGATTCTTATCTATGAAAATCAAGATTAAACGGCTCAGATTAAGAGTTGTAGATTTCTATATCACTATTTATACATAGATCTTCATAGAATTTATTTATTCGTAAACTCTTGAAGCAGTCTCGTGTTGTTATACATAATTTTTTTATTACTATTTGGGTAATAAACATTTATATAATATTACATATTCATATATAAAGTAAATTATTTGAAATAAAAATAAATAAAATATATTTTTATTATTTGAGTAATTAACATTTTATATAAGATTAAATATACATATATATCAATTATTTGAAATAAAAAATAATATATTTAATGTAGAGTAAAATATAAAAATAAAGACTGGAGATGGAATAAAGTAGTAGCGATAAGGGCTGAAAATGCTCTCAAATACCCATTTTGGTTAGTTATGGACCTTCTTAACCCTATCACACACATATATATACAGAGAGAAAGTTGGGAGGAAATATCTGATACCGATAGAAGCGTTTAAAGAAAAAACGAAAGCCCTAGAAATTCATTTTCATCGTTGAGCGATGCAGATCAATTCCCCACAGCCATGGCAGCAAAAGTTCGAACATTTGAAGATAAACGATGAAGCCGTTGCCGCAGGCGGCAGCGGCTATGCCAGCGACGATTCTATGGGTAGCGATTATGACGAGTCCGAAGCCGAAACCGACCCGTGGGAAGCCTTCAATCGTAAAAGAAGCGAGAAATCGAAGCAGGCTGCCCAGGATTTCCTCCAACAAGTCGAAAAAAATCAGGTATGCTGCTTGGTTTAATCGAGCGATTTGCTAGGGTCTGGATATTTTAGGGCACTCAAAATACGAGATAAAAAAAATAATTGGCGTGGATATTACGATCCTTGTTCGTTCTGGTGGTTTTTTCTCTCTGTTTTTCGATTTGATGTAAAGTAAAAAGAAAAAAAGAAAAAAAAAAAGTCTCGCATGAAGGTTTGGTTATTGGTGACTGCAGATTGCGGAGTTCCCTTGGCCCCCCGAACCTACTGACTGCGGACCATATGAATTTATCAAGCAGTACCTGAAAGATATCAAATTTGAAGAGGATAGACCTGAGTTAGCAAAGAAATTTCTGGAACAAGTCAAGAGCAGCTGGGTAGGTTAATTTGATTTCCCCTTAACTTTGTATATTGATATTGATATATATATTTCAGCACTTTGATAATGGTGAAATGATGATGATTTTCTTATTGAGTAACTGTAGTTGGGGCTCCTTTAGGCATCAGTGACAATTTTCTGGGACAATTATTTAGTTGGATTGGATCAATCAGTTTTACATATTTTTCTTCCGTTATTGTTATTGTTCAATCTAATATTGTGATAGAATTTCAATTGTGATTATTGTTGGCTCTAACAAATTGGGAATGTTTTGTGTTGAAATACCTTGGTAGGGTTATGATGTTGACTGCCGTCCTCCTCGTTGGGTTCCCCCTTCTCGTTTCCAACCAATAGATGACGTTGAAAAGATGATGTCGAAATATCCATTTTATAACAGGCCTCTGAGCTCTGCAGCAAATTCTGTAATTAGCGAAATCAATACTGTGGCTGAGGCCAAGGTAAGTATAGGTGTATCTTGTTGATTTGTTTGGATGCCCCTGTGCATTGTAGGGTGCATACTCAACTATTCGATTCAAATTCATGAAAATATTCAATTATTCGTATTCTTAATCGAATTGAAAGTTAGAAACTTTTACGAATACGAATCACATATCAAATCTAGCAAGTTTGACTCTTTTACAAGCCTGCTGCATTGATCACTCTATTCTGAACTGTTTATAATTTTAAGATTTAGTGTCCAAAAGCTGCTTGTTAGAAAATGCGACATGGTCTTACAGCGATTCTTCAAACTTGTGCAGAAGATGGGCAAAAGATTTGAGCTTGTGAGGATCATCAAAGCTGTTTTTATTAGTAGTGGCTGGAACTCTGTTCTTCTTCTGACTCTTACTATAAAGGATGTGGTGCTTGGCACTGAGAAAACTGTTCGAGCAATGGTGTCCATTCCACCAGCTAGGGAACCAAAACCTTTGGAGTGCAAGCTTATTTCATCCGACCCTGCTTGATTGATGTCATAATTTGCAATTTATTCTCTTCGTACTTTATATCCACTCAATTGCCTTTGTGTCAGTCTAATTCCCCAACTAATGTTTGTGTATTTATTTCTTTCAAGACTGTTTTGAAGAATTCTTGTTTGTGTAACAATGGCCAAACCATTTGTTGATATTATGCATCAACTAAATCAGGTTGCTACTGATATGGTCCCCATATTTTACTTGTGAAACTGATGGAATCATTATCAGAAATTTGGTACGTATGAAATGTTTGAATTTCACCGAAAATAGTATGAGACTACTCATGCCACCGACTAAAGAGCATTTTAATCATTTTCCTACCATTAATGATTTGCAGCTACCTTTTCTTCTCGAAACAACCATTACTAAGCTTAAAACACCACAATGTGCTATAAGCTCTCTGTGTGCACACTTCTCATTCAGACAAGAATTAGAAATGAATAAGCCCAAAGCAAAGTTGGATCATATGTTCATTTCCTTTACCTCTTCAACAACACTTCTCATTCAGACAAGAATAAGAAATGAATAAGCCCAAAGCACAGTTGGATCATTTATTCATTTCCTTGTAACTCTTCAACAACAGCATAACTATGCTGTTTTAATCATTTTTTTAGGATCTTGATCTCTAGCAAACAATAGCTTCTACACAAACTAACATTAGCCTCTACACAAACTCTACTTGCGGCATTATTTTCTTCACCAGCAATGGATCGTTACGTAGTAGACCCCGATGCTCTCATCTCCAACATCTGAAATGAGATTAGATGTGCTCCACAATAACATTGGCAAGAGGTTTAGGCAACTTAAGAGGGGTTGGTTGGGTTGATTTGGTTTCGACTTCATATACTAGGCCTATAAATTTCAAGCCTATATATTTCAACATTTTGATGATGATTTGTATTTGTTCGATTAACAAACGTTACACAAAGTTCATGAAGAACACCTACTTTAATAACCTCTCAATAATATTTTTATTTAAATGATCCCATGTATAAATAGTTGGGTCATCTACCGTCAGCTACGAATACGAAATTCATATTCGTATTCTTATTCGAATTGAAAGTTAGAAACTACGAATACGAACCACATATCAAATCTAGCAAGTTTGACTCTTTTACAAGCCTGCTGCATTGATCACTCTATTCTGAACTGTTTATAATTTTAAGATTTAGTGTCCAAAAGATGCTTGTTAGAAAATGCGACATGGTCTATTCTTCAAACTTGTGCAGAAGATGGGCAAAAGATTTGAGTTTGTGAGGATCATCAAAGCTGTTTTTGTTAGTTGTGGCTGGAAATCTGTTCTTCTTCTGACTCTTACTATAAAGGATGTGGTGCTTGGCATTGAGAAAACTGTTCGAGCAATGGTGTCCATTCCACCAGCTAGGGAACCAAAACTTGTGGAGTGCAAGCTTATTTCATCAGACCCTTCTTGATTGATGGCATAGTTGCAATTTATTTTCTTCGTACTTTATATCTCCTCAATTAATTGCCTTTGGAACACATCCCTGAGCTTATTTTCAAGAACTCTGTTTTTTGTAACAATGGCCAATCCATTTGTACATATGTTGCTTAGAATAGTTGGCTTCCATTACCCGAACTTATGATGTTGATGATAAATATGCTTCAACATATATTTGGAATATCTGCTTGTGTGAAAGACATGCATCAGTTGCACAAAATGAACTTATGATATTGGTTACATTTTAGTATTTTACTAGTGAAATTAATTCAGGTTACATGTGAAACTAATGGAATCATTATGAGGAATTTGCTATACATCAAGTGTTTGAATGTCACCAAAAATAGCATGGGATTAACGCATGCCACCGTCTAAAGAACATTTTAGTCATTTTTCTACAATTAACAATTTGCAACTCCATTTTCTTCTCAAAACAACCATTGCTAAGGGCAGATGTGCATCTCGTCCATTCAGCATAAAATAAGGGCAGCTAATATGGACAACGAAACGGCACTGTTTCGGTCTCCCAGTTAAAAAAAAAAATAACAAAAACAAATTTTTGCCAAAATGAAGTGGCAAAACTGTAAATAAAACAGCAGACTCTCAAAATAATGGCAAAAATGTAATAAAAATTGGACACTTGTCAATTTTTAATAATGGCATAATGGTACACTCGTCACCATTTAAAGGCCACACACTTCTTCAAATATATACAGTAGATATATATATTAAAAATCAGCACGTCTAAGAGTTTTGTTTTCACAATCTCTACATGATAAGAAATTTATTTCAATAATTATTAAATTAATTAATCTATATCTAATAAGGGAAAAAACATACACTTATTAGGCGACACGTGGCTCGGGAGAATAAAGACACGTGTACTCCGAGGACCATTAGTGTCTAAGGTCAAGGCTGAAGCCCAATCTCAAGTTAGGCCTAAGGTCCCAAGGCGTCTCACTTTAGGCCCAAGAGCCTGAGGAGTCTCACTGTAGGCCCAAGGTTTAAATGTGGCTCAACTGGTGGACCATAGTCCGCTAAGCTAGCAGGCTGGGAAGTCCTCCGTCTGCATAGGGAAGACCTAGGTCATCCGACCTCTATAAAAGGATGACCTAGGTCAAGGTAAGGGGGGGATTCTCTTCTCTACGCATTTTACAGCCACCATCTGAAAAACCTAACACCTATTCTAACTTAGGCATCGGAGGGTCTACCCTTGGGAACAACCCCGGGGTTCTGTTTTGCAGGCATCGGAGCAAATGAGACGACTTTAGGAGGACGTCGGAGCATCAATCGTCGCCACGTGTCCTCTAACTAACGTCAGGTAATTCTTGTATCATCAATTGGCGCCGTCTGTGGGACCGACGACTTAGGAAGAGGATTCATGGCGATACGGAAGAGAGGTGAAACCAGTCGAGGGACTCGGCGTTTCACGACATGATCAACCCCAAGAAAGCCAATCAAACTCTAAGGCTAACCCTAGCCAAGGCCAAAGTTTACAAGGTTCGGAAGCCTCGGAGACAGAGGCCGAACGACTGTAGAGGGTCGAAGAAGAACTTCTTGAACTGAAGACCCTGATGAAGGGTAAGATGGAAAAAGAAGCATCCCTAGGTCAAAAAGAATTGAGAAACCAGCCATGACGAAGGTTCTAAACCCCCCAACAATGAAACCAAGGTCAGATCCAAAAGAGACCTCGAGAGAGGAAATTTCACACATGAGGATGGCAACCATAAGCAAAAGCTTGAGGAGATGAATGAAAGGCTCGGCGTGGTGTGGAAAGAAGTCAGAAAGCCGACGTCGGATATTTTTTCGCCCACCGAGTCCCCTTTTATTGACAGCATCATGAAAGAAGAAATCGCTTCTAACTTCAAAAATTAGTCCTCGGATTACCGAGGTCTCCAAAGATGCTCCTCAGCCTACCGAGGTGTTCAAAAAATTAGTCCTCGGGTTACCGAGGTCTACAAAGAAGATCCTCGGCTTACCGAGGTGTTCAAAAAATGAGTCCTCGGACTACCGGGGTCTCCAAAAAAGCTCTTCGGCCTATCGAGGTGTCCAAAAAATTAGTCCTTGGTTCCCCGATGTCTCCAAAGATGCTCATCGGTCTACCGAGGTGTTCAAAAAATTAGTCCTCGGACTACCGAGATCTACAAAGAAGCTTCTCGTCCTACCGAGGTGTTCAAAAAATTAGTACTCGGATTACCGAGGTCTCCAAAAAAGATCCCCGACCTACCGACGTGTCCAAAAAATTAGACCTCGGACTACCGGGGTCTATAAAGAAGCTTCTCGGCCTACCGAGGTGGCCAAAAAATTAGTCCTCGGACTATCGAGGTCTACAAAGAAGCTCTTCGGCCTACTGAGGTGCCCAAAGAAATAGTCCTCGGACTACCGAGGTCTACAAAGAAGATCCTCGGCCTACTAATGTGTTCAAAAAATGAGTCCTCAGACTATCAGGGTCTCCAAAGAAGCTCCCCGGCCTACCGAGGTATCCAAAAAAGTAGTTCTCGGACTACCAAGGTCTACAAAGAAGATCCTCGACCTATCGAGGTGTTCAAAAAATGAGTCCTCGGACTACCGGAGTCTCCAAACAAGCTCATCGGCCTACCGAGGTGTCCAAAAAATTAGTCCTCGGATTACCGAGGTCTCCAAAGATGCTCCTCAGTCTACCGAGGTGTTCAAAAAATTAGTCCTCGGGTTACCGAGGTCTACAAAGAAGTTCCTCGGCCTACCGAGGTGTTCAAAAAATTAGTCCTCGGATTACCGAGGTCTACAAAGAAGTTCCTCGGCCTACCGAGGTGTTCAAAAAATTAGTCCTCAGATTACCGAGGTCTCCAAAGATGCTCCTCGGCCTACCGAGGTGTTCAAAAAATTAGTCCTCGGATTACCGAGGTCTACAAAGAAGTTCCTCGGCCTACCGAGGTGTTCAAAAAATTAGTACTCAGATTACCGAGGTCTCCAAAGAAGATCATCGGCCTACCGAGGTGTCCGAAAATTCGACCTCGGACTACCAATACAAATATTCATCTGTAAGTGACTCATCGCTTATTTTCTGTACGCGTAAAAGTTACCGCGTACATAAAATGGGGGGCAAGTGATAAGGGAAAAAACATACACTTATTAGGCAACACGTGGCTCGGGAGAATAAAGACACGTGTACTCCGAGGACCATTAGTGTCTAAGGTCAAGGCTGAAGCCCAATCTCAAGTTAGGCCTAAGGTCCCGAGGCGTCTCACTTTAGGCCCAAGAGTCTGAGGAGTCTCACTGTAGGCCCAAGGTGTAAATGTGGCTCAACTGGTGGACCATAGTCCGCTAAGCTAGCGGGTTGGGAAGTCCTCCGTCTGCATAGAGAAGACCTAGGTCATCTGACCTCTATAAAAGGATGACCTAGGTCAAGGTAAGGGGCGGATTCTCTTCTCTACGTATTTTACAGCCACCATCTGAAAAACCTAACACCTATTCTAACTTAGGCATCGGAGGGTCTACCCCTGGGGACAACCCCGGGTTTCTGTTTTGCAGGCATCGGAGCAAATGAGACGATCTTTAGGAGGACGTCGGAGCATCAATCGTCGCCACGTGTCCTCTGACTAACGTCAGGTAATTCTTGTATCATCAATATCTATAAATTGTTAGTTGGAAAATGAGAGTATTTTGTTTTCACAAAACTATACGTGATAGACGGAGATTGAATCAAACTAACTATTTTTGCATTATCGAAAATAAGACAATGGTTATAGTTAAGTAGTTAGAAAATTGCGCACACGTTTAAAATGTTTGAGATACTGACTATATTTATCAAATTTAAAAAAATTCAAACGAAACATGTATAAGAGTTTTGTTTGCACAAAT